GTTGGTGGTGTAAAAATCCGGTGGTCTTGTCGGCGGTATGGTGGTCGAACTTGACAATTTCCAGTGGGGACGAGTTTTGGGAAGAAGATGAAGTTTGGTGGATTATTTTCACTTTTTAAAAAATTTGGGCCAATAGTTGCAATTTGTTCAATTGTTTTTCTTTTCTTTTTTTTTTTTTCAATTGAATTGAGGGTAAAATCGTCAAAACATGGTGAAAAGGACCTTCGGCTCACGAAATGTTGAAGGTAAGGGCATAAATGTCAAGAAATGACAATTATTGACGATTTTCACAATACATGTCAAAGGTATGGACGATTTGTGCTAATTATCTAACTATTTTTCATGCAATATGCAGCCATATCTTTCACATTCTTTCTTCCTTCTCCATGATATGTGTAGTTTCTACACTTCTTCGAGATTATAAATGATGATATTTTATGGTTCTTTAAATAAAATGCTACCTAACTTGTCTTATATTGCATTTTATAAGTAAAACTCGATATTTGATAAAGAACTGAAGAAAATAATGTGAAAATAGTGAAAAATGGGGAAATCAAAGGTCGGGGGGCTAAATTGCAAACACTCCATAGGAGATGGGCTATAAAATGAAGATCGAAGATGCCAAGGATTTAATTGGATATAACTGAAAGATAAATGACAAGATTACAAGAGGAAATGGCTGAAATAAAGCAGATTCAAAGTACGGGGACTAAAGTGCAAATACTCGAAAGTTGTGACAGACCTCACGATGAAGATTTGAGAGTTTTATGTGTCAATTGGATGTAATAAGAAGTCAAAAAGGAATGAAATATATTCAAATAATCTTTATAAATCAATTTTCAACCGCACAAGGCATATTCTAGATTTTCAATCAGAGTTTGAGACCCATTTTTGGAATAGTAAAAATTAAAATTAGAAATTTTCTATTTCTTAATATTTGTAGCCCTTTGAGTTAGTTTTTCAATCACTTTGAATCACTTCAATCAGATATTATAAGAGAAAGTTATGACCAAAATATTAAAAGATGTGCAGAGACAAAATCATGAGCACGTGAAGGTAACTTTTCTCATTTGATTGAAACTCTTTTGGTAGGTCACTTGGACGTGAATCTTAACCTAATTTCATCATATAGAATATATGGGGGCAGCCATTGGAGGAGCTCTCTCCCATCTCTCAAAGATTTGATTCATATCATAAAATCATTCAAGAACGAGGGTAAGCATCAAGATCAAGACAGATTACACGAGATTGTTGAAAAATATTCATCAATTTTCAAGATTCAAGTCAAGAAAATGGATTTTTCCACCTTCTTCCATCTTTTCTTAATTCGGGTGATATTTTTCCATATTATCTTGTATAATTTAATTAATAGGATGATAGGCTAATTTTTCTTTTGTATGGGTTGAATGGTAAACCATATTGTATGTTTATTTTAATTCAAAACAATTAGTTTAGTATTTCTT